TGCACGATCAGACTGGTTGGAAAAAAGCCAAAGAATTGGGCCTCTTGGTCAGCATTATTGTCAAAGCACGGGCTGTACATTGATGTAAATGCAGACTTTTTAACATCAGGGCTTTGTGAGTGGAGATATTCCTTCGCTGCGCTTTCAGTGAAGACGTAGTTCCAAAACCGAAGGCGGGCAATAGGTCTCAGTAATCACCATAATGCCCAGGGCAAAATTCTCAACAAAGAAGGAAAAAAAAGCCAAACTTACCAGTCCCAGGAAGATGCAGAAGAGCTGAACTACATCAGTGTAGGCCACAGAATAAAGCCCACCCACAAGCGTATACATAGTTGCAATCAGGGCAGAAACAATGACTGAAATATTGACATTAATGTCAATGATCACACTTATAGTGGCACCTATGGGGAAAAACAAAGCACTGTGTGTTAGTGTATGTCACAGTATGTCTGATGAGAAGGCTCACCTTTGTTAAGTTGCATATAGAGGTGCTGGTCTGACACAGCAACAGCATGAAGATGTTCCTCTCTCTATCTTCTGCACACCCCTTCTGCACCTTTGAAGGGAGTGGGAAAAGGAAGGCTCCTGTTGGTCTAAGTTTAGCATTTGTCCTACAAAATGGAGGAGGGAAGGGTCCCAACAGCCTTTCCTTACATTGCTCAAGCTCTGGAAGGACTACACTCTCTTGCTCTGTCTGGAGAAAAGCAGCCACGCAGAGACAGCTGAAGCCTCCCTGGGTGAGTTGCAGCTGCATGGGAACAAGTGTATCACTGCAGTAAAGGCTGTGCCTAGGGGAGCTCTGCTGCAACACATCACACCCTTTTGTATCATCTCACTTATGCTCTGAGCTAGCCCCTTTTGACCAAGGAGGGAAGCATCAGCTATAGAGACAATTGTCCACTGACGCTTCGAAAGTGCCCTTGAATTGTTTACATGGGACAAAGGTGGGTTTCTTTGCAAACAGGAGAACCCATCCTCCATTGGCGACCTAGAAACCAAGAACTTTTCCAAGCACCATCAAGAAGATTTCATTTGTAGAAAACACACCACAATGTTGAGTTGACCAGTCAGACTCCACAAGACAGCTCATAGAATCAAAGAGTTGCTGAGACTGAAAGGCACCTCTAGAGATTGTCTAGTCCAGTCAAGCAGAATTAGCTGGAGCAGGTGCTCAGGATCATGTTCATCTGCAAGAATGGAGAGACTCCACAACTTCTCTGGGCAACCTGTGCCAGTGTTTGACCTCTTCCACTGTAAAAAAAAAGTTTTTTCTTAAGTTTAAATGGAATTTCCTGTACTTCTGCTTGTGCCTATTGCCTCTTGTCCTGTCACTGGGCAGCACAGAGATGAGCCTGGTTCTGTCTTCTTTATTCTGCTCCCCCCCACTGCCAAATCAGGTATTTAAGCACATGAATAAGAACCCCCTGAGCCTTCTCTTCTCCGGGCTGAACAGTCCCAGCTCTCTCAGCCTCTCCTTATATGCCACATACCCTAGTCCCTTAATCATCTTTGTGGCTCTTCACTGGATTGTCTCCAGTATGTCCGTGTCTCTTGTATTGGGGAGCACTGGATCTGGCACTCCAAATGCTGAGTAGAGGGGAAGGATCCCCTCCCTCAACCTGCTGACAATGGTCCTTCCATTGCAGCTCAGGTTGCCATTGGCTTTCTTTGCCACAAGGGCACATTGCTGGCTCATGGTCAACTTCATTGCCTTCTAAGACTCCCAGGTTCTTTTCTGCAAACCTGCTTTCTGTCTGGTCAGCCCCCAGTCTGTACTGGGACATCAGGTTGTACCTCCCCAGGTGTAGGACTTAGCATTTTCCTTTGTTGAACTTCATGAAGTTCCTGTTGGCCCATTTCTGCAGCTTGCTGAAGTCCTTCTGAACGGCAATAAAACCATCTGGTCTACCAGCAACTCCTCAGTTTTTGTTTTCTGCAAACTAGCTGAAGGTGCACTTCATCCCATCAGCCAGGTCATTAATGAAGACATTACACGGTACAGAACTCAGTATTGACACCTGGGGTACACAACTGGTGACTGGCCACCAGGTGGCTTCCATGCTTCTGGTCACAGCCCTCTGAGCCCAGCAGTTCAGCCAGTTTTCAATCCTCCTGACTGTCCACTTATCTAGTCTATACTTCATCTGTCTGTCTATGAAGATATTACAGGAGACGTGTGAAAAGCCCTTTTTGAAATCCACAACATGCCCTGCTCTGCCTTTGTGAACCAAGCCAGTCAGCTCATCTTGGAAGATGTCAGGTTGGTCAGAAATTATTTCTTCCCCATAAATCCATGCTGACTTCTCCTAATCCCCTTCTTGACCTTCATTTGTTTGGAAGTAGTTTCCAGGAGTATTTGCTCCATCGCCTTCCCAGGGACTGAGGTGAGGCTTTAGTTCCTGGTATCCTCCTTCTTGCCCTTCTTGAAGACGGGAGTGACATTTGTTTTCTTCCAGTCTTCAGGAACATCCCTGATCACCACAATCTTCAGAAGATTACTGAGAGTGTCCTTGCAATGCTATCAGCCAGCTCCCACAGCACTTGCAGCAAGCATCCCATGAGGTCCCCTGAAATTGTGTCTGTCCAAGTCTATTTAAATGTTTCCTAACCTGATCCTACTCTAGCAAACCTTCCTTGCCCTGGACTTTCCTTGGTTTCTCAGTTTCCTGGGGTTCCTGAAGGCTGGTCTTACCAGCAAAGAATGAAGCAGAGAAGGCACTGAGTACCTCAACCTTTTCCATATCCTTTGCCACCAGGTCCCCTGTCCCATTCAACAGCAGTCGACATTTTCCCTAGTTTATGTACTCGTAGAAGCCTTTCTTGCTGCCCTTCATGGCCAGATTCAAATCCAGGTGGACTTTGGCTTTTCTAAACCTATCTCTGCATGCTTGGACAGTGTCTCTGTATTCCTTCCAGGTCACCTGTCCCTGCTTCCACCTCTTGAATGCTTCCTTTTTATGTCTGAGTCTAGTCAGGAGCTCCTTTTTTATCTATGCAGGTCTCCTGCCAGCTTTGCTTGTTTTCCTGGTTGTCAGGGTGGACTGTTCTTAAGCTTGGAGGAAATGATCCCTGAATATCAACCAGCTCTCCTGGACTCCTCTTCTCTCCAAGGCTGTCTTCCATGGGATTCCTCCAAGCAGATCCCTGGAGAGGCCAAATTCTACTCTCCTGAAATCCATTGTTGTGGTCCTGATTTTTGCCTTGTTCCTCTCAGGACCCTGAACTCCACCATCTCATGGACGCTGCAGCCAAGTTTGCCTCCAGCCTTCATATCCCTAACTAGTTCTTCCTTGTCTTTAAGTAACAGGTTCAACAGAGCACCTCCCTGCATCAGCTCCTTCCATCATGTTTCAGGAAGTTGTTGTCAGTGCTCTCAAGAAACCTCCTGAATTGCTCGTGCCCTCCTGCACTGCCCTTCCAGCAGCTATCAGGGTGGTTATACCTTTCCCTTAGATGTATTAGCTATTTCAAGTGATTGCAGTGTTTTAAAACCTTGTTTAAAAAAAATTCCTGTCCTCCTAATTAGGATAATTTAGATGAAACATGTTGCAGTAACTTTTAGTCCTTGCAAGCTATTGTAGATGGATATTCTTGACCACATAGGTAGAAAAGTTCTGGCAGTAGAACACAACATGATGTGTGGCATATAAGAGCTGCTGGGAGCTGCCAGGTGGCTTTTTTTTGCACAGTGAGCCTTCAAAGTTCATGTGCTTAAAGATTACAAGCTCAGACCACTTTCACAAGCTGAAAGCCCTGTCTTTCCCTTCTATAATGCTGCCAAGCAAGAAATCATGAGGAAGATCAAGAAGTGAAGAGTAGTGGGATTAAATATTCATCAGTAAGGATAGGTGTGCAAATTAGGAGGTATAATATAACCAGATTATTCACAAAATGGTTAAAACCAAAACCCTCAATGACCTTTATAGTCATTGACAGTCTTTAACTGTCAGCTGTTAATATAAACCTACTAGAAAGATATTCACACCACTTGCTTTGAAATATCACAAATTAGCTTGTCCTCAATCAAAAAGAAAGTATATTCCAAATACTCAGAGTGTTCTTCAAGTTATTCAACTCCTATCACCTCAGCATGTAGTTTGTTCTTAGTCCTTCAAGTGTTTTGTGATGAAATTGTGGTAAACAAGCTCCCCATTGCTTTGCAGTTCATCAGAGCACAGTTGGAGAGTACCTTCAAAGTTTATTTTCTGTTTAAAGTAGCTTGCGCTAGAAAGCATTACCACATGCATGTGCACTATGAGTATGATTAGCTGGTAAAAGTCAACTACTGGTGCTTCAACTCAAGGGCTTTCTCAGTTCTTGAAGGCATTGCTAAATTCAGGCCTGAAATATAATTAAAACCCCTGGAAACTGATTTTTTTTCAGGACTGGATGAGTAGTTGGGTGACTTTCTATTGAGTCATATTTCCACTAATTCTCTGAATCCTTTCTTGACTCTTAAGTATTTTCTTCATTTTGTCAAGTAGAAAGCCATTTAGAATTGAATAATAGTTCAATTTATTGATCAGCATCTGTTTTACTTCTATTATTTGTGCTATGGAAAGTTCTGTATATGTAGGTCTCCTATATGCAAAGGATTATTTTTTTAGATGCATTGGCAATAATCTTTCATATCTTTAAGGGAAATTGTGACTCGCTTCTGTGATCTCACTGGTGTAAAAGAGAAGCTGGGTCAGCCTTGACATGAAAGGGACACTTGCAATCACGCTCGCAAATGTCATGCCACAATTAAAGGAATTTTGTTGCTAAATCTTTTCATGCTCTTTGAAAAGGGACAACTTAAAGATACCCGAAAATGAATAGATACCTTGCGTGTCTTTCCATTACCAAAATAATTAATGGGGTACCATTACCAGGTTTAATTACTAGTTAGCACGTGTCTGAGAACTGTCACACACTGAATCATTTGGCTAGGACAGTTAGCATTTGAAGCCAGAATTTTAATGCATTTCTGATTTTCTTAATCCTTTCCACCTGTGATAAATTAATATTTATACTGCTTATTCCTTACCTAAGGCAGAGAAGATGGCAGCAGCCCAAAACATTTCTCCCATTAAAGCTGGAATAAACAGTAGCCCTCCCATCCTTTTTCCATAAAGCTGCTGAAAAGGGTCTAGCATTGTCACATAGCCTTTGGATCGCATGGGTTTTGCAAAAAAAAGGCCACCTATAGAGAAAAGTAGCAGAAGACACCAGCTGCAGTGGAGAAATGCATTGCCATTATGGGGTAAAACATTGATTGTCAGTTAAGGGTACAAAAATATCAGTATTACTGGTTTTTTTTTTAAAGACGTAAGTACAGTTAAAATATCCTCTAAGAACTCTTATCTTACATGTATCTACAGAGTTACATAAACACTTCCACACCATTAATATCTATGGTTTGATAATGCAAAATAAGTTTGTGTTATTTTGTCTGGTTCAGTTTACTTAATCTGCCATTGTGGAGGCTATCAGAGTTTTGTCTAATTTTGGATCAGCTTAAGGGAATGGCTTTTCTACCTAATCCTGTTCATTCTTAGAGCAGAATCCAGCATGAATTTTCACATGGTCCTACTCTAAAAATAAAACTCTCTGGGATTCCTGGATCAGAAATACGAGTTCACACATGGTTTAATTCACACACAGCAAATCTGATTCTTTCAGGACAATTCAGATTTATTATGTATGCTTAAATCAACCTTACTACACCTGAGGGGTAGGTCAGATGCCTTCCTGGCTCTGCAGGTGTCAGGCTCCCCAAATATTTCTCATACACTTATTTCACTTATGCATGTTCAGGAATTTTGATGTATCACAATTCTGCTCTGTCTGGCTGGCATATGGGCTGGATATGTACATAAATGTTCAAAGACCTCACCTTTCTAATGTACAGTCCTCAAATTCTTTCTGGCTGGGGAAAAAAAAGGACATATCTCAGGAAAGCTGAAAGAGACCTTCTATGGAAACCCGTGTAGTTGAGACCTGCATGTGACTATAAGTAGACTTCTACCACAGTAAAACTGCTGAAATGCAATGTATAAGGTACAATAAAAAAACTGGAAAACCAGTTAGTTCCCAATAAAATCTACTGTACAGTATTTGGTGACCCTTAGTTAGGTTCTTCATCACAAGATATGTAATGTATTCATCGTATTGTATAGAAGATTTTCCACATTTCTATGTATTGTCTTGTATCACTCATATTTCTTCATTTCATTAAGTTCCCTGAACAGAAGGTACTGGCTTACCAATCACAATTTATTTGTACTGCTTATGTTAACGTTGTCTCTAGGCAGGTTGTTTGGATGCAGAAACCCTCCAGCGTTTTTTTACTATTCTTGGTCATGGATCCTGTTCCTATTCTACTTGTTATGTCATTACAAAAGATAACTAAAAGAAGAAAAAAAGAGTCACTGGTATTATAATCTATTAGGATGTTCAAACATCTGTCAAAGGAAACAGGGGATACTCTAACCTTTAAAACTAAGTTGCTTGAAAAATTAGGAAAAGTGGTATGCAGCACAACATTGAACTAACAGGGAGATTATATCAATCTTAAATCCTTCCAGTCTGAAGCAATAATATTTCTTCTAGACTTGTATTTATAATTTTGATTTTTTTTTAAAAAGGATAAGCAAGTCCTCCCCCAAACCTGCATGTAGAGATCATGCCTACAGAAATGCTTTCCTCTCTGTGCTCTGCAGAGAGATATATGGTCACATAATACAGGATTCTTTTCTCTGAAGTGGCCATTATAATTTCCAGGGAAAAAAGTCTGGGTATCTAAAAACAGCTGGACATGAGGGGAGAGGCTAACTCAACCTCTCTTCTGGGCTATTGTTAATTTGTGTCAATTCTACAGAGGCTAAGAGTCAGGAAGATGCTTGTGACTATGATCCTAATGACTGCTTAATGACATCGATGGATCATGACCATCATGACCTCAGAATGACAACAACTGATCTCCAGGCGGACTTCTCCTGTTACGGTTTTCCTTACAGGAAATAGAGCTGCTCTCAGGGATGGGAACTACTACTGGAGCTGGAGCTGGCCCACACGTTCCAGAAAGGAGCATCTATGATGGGGACGGTTTTTGCCTGGGAGGAGAGGAGAACCAGGAAAGCATTTCCAAGGGGAAAAAAAGAGTCAGGAGGGAAACTGAGTTGTATAGGCAGAAATAAAAGGGGCAAGAAGACCTGGATAAACAACCAAAGGAAACAAAGGGACAGACTAGGTGGGAGGACCATGAGAAAAGACTCAAAATAGACAGAGAGGTCAAGTATTATTAGAAAGGCTAATACACCAGTCACATTAATTAAAGATGAAAAATACAGTATCTTTTTTGTTGCCTTAGGGACATGATCTGTTCACAAACTGAGAGGATGTAGTTGACAACTTTGTGGTGTATTCATCACAGCTCACAAGGCAATACTTGCATTGCGAGCTGCTCCATGTGGTTGAGACACAGTGAGAAATTTTTTATTGCTATTATTTTTAAGAAAAGTAAGGAAGTTCTGAGACTACGTTTCAGGAATTAGAGGCCACAGCAATAAAAATTATAATGCTGTCTGTATTTTACACTCTGACCCTGCATATTGCATTTTGACATGTGATTTGGAGTTTTGTACTGCATTTAAGAGGATGCTTGGTCCAATTTTAAGGAAATAGATTGGTTCTACTACAGACTTCCTATACAAAATTAGACAAGTTACTTAGACTCTTGGTGAAGATCTGTAAGGTATAAGCACTTCCCTAACCTGAAAGGTTATTTGCCATTCTTGAATTTCAAGATTTATATGTGCCCTGATACTATCATTCCAGATCATATAGGCACTTAAAGAAAACCTGAATATATAAAACTTAGTACATATAATTTAAAAAAAAAAAAGAAAAATCCCACAACGAAACCTTTATTATTGTGACCTCCATAGATCACTATGGTTGTAATAATCAAATAGGTCTTGCCGAGGCATTCAGGAGATTTAAGATATCAAACTATTTATAGTGATTTTCTGTTTTTCTTTTTAATAGCCAAACTTATCAGCAGAAGGGATCCAGTTTATCTCAGTATACTTTTATCAGACCCTAGTTGTTTCATTTCAAATGATGGACTTGTCATCAGAACTGTTTAAAATCAGACACTATTAGCTTTAGTTCATTGCTTACCTAAAACCAGACTAAGGGAATATCCGATAGGTGCCTGAGCCCAAGCTAGACCATAGCCTGGGACATACACAGCTTCTGCTGTCCCGTTGATGTAACCTCCTCCAACCCACGTGGCTGAAAAAGAAGAGGTGGAAAAGTCTTTAATGTGCATAAAGAAAAAAAACCTCCCAAGTTGTGGAATGAAATTGTCATCACTTATAATATTGCTATTTTTTATTATATGTACTGTACAAGTGCCAGACATGGCATCCTTCTGTAAAAGATAGTCCTAATTTGAAAAACTTACAACCTAAGCATAAGAAAAAAGAAGTCAGATGGACTGAGACAGTCATCAAGGTGTCTAAGTGTCTGTATAGTCAGTGAAGATGTGAGGGTTGAGTCCCCCACTACTTGTTTACAGTGAACGAAGCACATCAACTCACTAACCATTACCATTTTCTTTGTGTTAGTCCAAGTGAAGGAGAGATGTAGGGGGATCTGAAGAAGAACAATAAACATACAGTGATAAAGTCATCCCAGCTGGGAAAACTCAAAGCATTTAAATAAGACAAGAGTTTAATGAATGCGTTGTTTACTAGGGTCTTCATGAAAAAAATTGCCCTTAAAACCTTGCTAAATTTTAAATTGTGGCTACACAAAGCACATTTAGTAAACTCTGACTTCCCTAAATGCTGTATTTCCATATAGGGCTATGGTGGGTTTGTGTTGCTGTTTAAGTTGTAAACGTCGACTCATTTATTTTTGTGCTTCCTGAAGACATACTCCGGAAGTGAATTGTACTATCTATAATATTTCTGATTTTACCTCTCTAAAAACCAGCAGTATTTTTAATATACTAACCTCAGACCCTTAATGAATTGATTCTCTGCCTTGAAGGGAAGTTTCTACATTTGAGAACTTGGACCTACAGAATGTATGAAAGAAAATCTCCAACGCAGAAATGTATTGTGATTACATCTGCAAAAATAACTCATAACAAATTATGTAATAAAGTTTATCTCTTCCTGTTTGCAGATTCCACGCAAAAAGTTCTTGATTTTCTCTAATGTATAATGAGCAAGTTTTCTGAATCTGGGTCTGTAGTTTGAACAAGGGCAGACAGATCATTACAAGTACTAGATTTTTGTAATGCTATTTTGATTTGCCTCAGAAGCCTTTGTCTTCTCATATAAGAGTAGTTCAGGCTTTCTGTGTAAAAATTCACAATTGTAAGAAATTTATTTTCCTTAAGTATTCTTCAGAATTTTCCTGGCATCCACCATCATACAAGCAAACTTGATTTTATGTTTAAGACAAACAACTGGAGATAAACACAAATGAAGAAAACGTAATTAAAATTCCTAAAGAAATTTCATGAAGATCTAAATGACCACTCTCTTCCGCTTAACTGTGATATGTCTCAAATACTACCAGAGGGTATTTTTTTTAACTCAATGCTAAATTATACCATAGATTTAGAATCAAAGATCTCTGGCAATCAGAGCATTACAATGGTCCCCCTTTCAGCATTTTGAAGCACAGGAATGGACCAGTCTATTGTTGAAAATGGTATAGTGGGCTTGTATGAGGGATGTGCATGCAGAGAAAGTCTGCAACAAAACTAGTGACCCACAGAACTCTGTTATTGGTAGACTTTTAGGTATCAAGATCTATTGTACACTACAGAGACGAGACAAGACAAGAGGCGAGTGATGCCCATGTGGGACCACATGGAGAAGATGGATGAACACTGATCCTTGATGGGAGGAGCAGGAATACAGAATCTACATAAAAAGTTGTCAGACATTTTGGATTTTGTGCCCCATCCAACCTGGCCTTGAACACTTCCAGGGAGGGGCATCCACAGCTTCCCTGGGCAGCCTGTTTCAGTGTCTCACCATCCTTACAGTAAAGAATTTCTTCCTTATAACTAATCTAAATCTACCCTCTTTCAGATTAAAGCCATTACCCCTTGTCCTATCGCTACATGGCCTTGTAAAAAGTCCCTCTCCAGCTTTCTTGTAGGCCCCCTTCAGGTGCTGGAAGGCTGCTATGAGGCCTCTCCGGAGCCTTCTCTTCTCTAGACTAAACAACCCCAGCGCTCTCCGCCTGTCCTCATACCGGAGGTGCTCCAGCCCCCAATCATCTTTGTGACCCTCCTCTGGACCCACTTAAGCAGGTCCATGTCTTTCTTATGCAGGGGGCCCCAGAAGCTGAACACAGTACTCCAGGTGGGGTCTCACGAGAGCAGAGTAGAGGGGGAGCATCACCTCCCTCGGCCTGCTGGCCACATTTCTTTTGATGCAGCCCAGGATGCGATTGGCTTTCTGGGCTTTTAGCGCACGTTGCCGGCTCATGTTCAGTTTTTCATCCACCAATACCCTCAAGTCCTTCTCCACAGTGCTGCTCTCAATCCACTCATTACCCAGTCCATATCCATGTTTGGGATTGCCCTGACCCAGGTGCCGGACCTTGCACTTGGCCTTGTTGAACTTCGTGAGGTTCGCACAGGCCCATCTCTCTAGCCTGTCAAGGTCATCCGGATGGCATCTCTTTGCTCTGGAGTATCAACCACACAACTCAGCTTGGTGTCATCTGCAAACTTGCTGAAGGTGCACTCAATCCCGCTGTCCAAGTCCCTGACAAAGATGTTAAATAATACTGGTCCCAATACGGACCCCTGAGGGACACCTCATCACTGATCTCCACCTGGACATTGAGCCGTTGGCTGTTGAGTCCATGACTACCTGGGATGTGTGTTGGCTATTGTGTCGCAAGCAGCATAAAGTTACGGAATAGATTCTAAGCACCTGTATACAGTAACAAAAGTGAATATTTAGAAAGGCAATTGTATTTGTGTCCTTCCCTGGAAAAAGCACGAGCATGAATTCTGCATGAACAGCACCCACTTCCAGATGGAGAATAGTATCCCATGGTCAAGGACAGATGTCCAGCATTGCTGCAGCTGTGGTGCAAGGCTTCAACATCCAGCATCTATTTGCCAGGGGTTGTTACTGAGGTGGCAAGTGTTCTCCAAGGGGCACTTGGACACTATGCCTAGCTCCCTTATTTTCTTCCAGAGGGGGGCACATCACTTCCCTTCTGTGTGATGTTGCAGGGGCCATTGCCCTCCCCTGGCTGGGGACAGGAACAGTGCCCTATGGACAGGTGTCGCTGGGTAGGGTGATATGGAGTATTTAGCACTTACTTTCAATTTTATTTCTTGATTTCTGGATTGGAGATTGAAAAATAGCCACTGATCAATTTTTCTGTCCACATGACTGTTCTGGAACATCTGCTAAGGACCCCAGAGCTCTAGGAAGGTGCTATATGGCTTTTTCTGAGGGAGTGAATGGGTAGTCAGTGTGTACATTGACATCAGTAAATACATTAGAAAAGAAATAATGGGATATGATAGGATGGGATTTCAACCTTAGATATTAATTTTCTGATCCTCAGTTTGCTAAGCCACAATTTAAAGTTAGTTTAATACCTTTTTTGTTGGAATTCTTTTTTTTTTCTGAATCAGACAAAAGGAATATAAAATTTAATAATCTATGGAAACACTCATGTGATAATCTATTTTAATCCTCTCTTTGCCTGCCGTCTGAAGGACCAAAAAATGCAGCAAATACCAATATCCATTGAAAACATGCACCCTAAAAAATGATCAGACAAATACTGAGGATATGGAGAGCAATTCTGCTCCTAGTTCATATGAGGAACACGGAAATTAATCTCAGAGTTCTTCATATATATTGATATATACTAGAAAATCAGATTTTTTAGCACTTCTTTGTGAATGATCCCTTGTCTGACCACTCAAATTATTGAATCAACTCATCAAGTTCTGTAAAATGAAAATCCTGACCTAAGGATTACAAAAGAATAGGATTCTGTAATATTTCTTTTTTTCTTGTGGAAAGATACATAGCTCCATCCGACTGAAATGAAAAAATGACATTACGTTTTTGGTCATGTTTGTAAGCATTTGATTATGTCAAGTATTTCCTTTGGGGATTGAACTCAATCACCAAAATCAGAATAGACTCAAGTTTGTCGCAGATACCACTTCTTAAGAATTTCACCCACAAGTTAAGGAATGCTAATATTTAATGCAACATTTTAACTATAAAATGATACACATTTAACTATGTAAAAATGATACACAAATTAAAGGCGTGTCTACTATGGTACTATGTTAGCTCATTTTAATACGAGCTGCTGTGATCCATCCCCAATTCAAGCTTCTCACTCTTCCTATTTTGATAATCGCAGACACACTCAGCCTTCAGCGGGCTTTGTGTTTAGGCATTTCAGTAGCTAGTTGATATATGCTTCTTTCAGAATCACAGTATACGTCCAAATATGTCCACAGCCATTATTCATAGGTAGTGCATTTGCTTTAAGGCTTTTAAATGTCGTTTAGAAAATCAACCATAATTATTTAGGAATCTTGAGTCCATCCCTATGAAGTCACAATGCTTATGCTCTGAATTTGATTTTAAATTTATAGGATGAGTTCTGTCATCCTCCCCACCAAGTAGCCCTAGAAACTGCTACCATTTTTTAGCCAGTATCCATGGAAAATGGTAGTGTTTGTCTTGGGCAAGAAAATCAGAATTAGGCCTTATCCAATAACCCAAAGCACTTCATGTCCATACTAACAATATCCTTTCTGGAATCTTTAAAAATTTCTTGTTTTCCTTTTATGGGATAGGCTTTGCTTTTTAATTCATATTTAGATAATTAAAGCTGAAAAATATAAAGACTATGTTAGAATAGCCATATATCTCTGGAGGAATGGTTATGAGCTGCAAATTGTGCATCTATCATTTTTAAAGAAGCAAATATATCCTTGAATAATGTGACCATTTAGTAAAAATTATTGAGGATTTTGATCATCTTACTTTCACGATTATTTTGTTATGGCTTTACAAACTAGGTATCCCAATCACCCTCACCGAGACAAAACTTGGACTAACTCCTGATTCAGTAGACTTGTGCCCACACCTTGTGTGCCAGGCATGGTTCCCCAAAACTGAAAGTGTAATTTACTTGCCATCTCAAGCTTTAATTGCCATATTTATGGAAGGCAGAGGTGAGAAAGTATGTGAACCCTGATAGTATAAAATCCACGAGTGTTTTAGCTGCACAAAGGCTTTAGGATCAGCTTGATATTCTACCGCAGAGATGACATACTACGCCATCTCTAGAGCTTGCATGAAACAGGATGAGCATACGTGGATGTGAATTGTGGTGGGTATAGAAATTGTCTGCAATATAGGAAGCCCCAGTTCAAGTCTCATCTCTGCTTCAGCTGTTATGAAAAATATTCCTGTAAAATAGGATTAAGGAGACCAGAATTCGTGTCTTCTTCCACAGGCAAAGGTGTTCATCGTAACCACTTGCGCGGGGGATGTATTGTTTCGTCTCCACTCCCCCAATCTAATGATTACAGTTTTGTGGCAAGCCATGTCTCTGCAAAATATTCTGGTTTCAGTGCTCTTGAAAACATTTCATTCAGCAGAAAGCAGTCAAACCAGCCCTTGCTGTGAGCAGAATCTTGTCACACCTGATGCTTCAGTAGCAATGGATACGTGATACAGTAATATTATAGCAAAGTGCGAAAAGTAGAACATCTGCCTGTATTCAAACTTTATTGACTTTTACAAACATTCTTTACTCAATATCCAAATATTCAGTCTTTGAATGAGCAAAATGCCCCTGCAAGGGGATAGGAATTTCTCTTGGTTAAAGAACACAGAATTTTGGCCCAAGTTTTTATGTGTCTCTTCCTTATTAGATAATTGTGAAACCAGAACAAGGCAAATCAGCAAAACATAAATATAACCTGATAAATCCAATTTGGTAATTGAAAGGGCTTTGCCTGAATAGAATTTAGAATAAACAAAAAAAAAAAAAGAAGCATTCTTAAAAATTAAATTGCTTAAATAAAAGTCGTGGGCCAATTCACTCTTCTTCTAATGCACTTTTGTTCCAATCCCATATGTTAGCTGTAAGACTTGAGATTTTGGACTATATTGTGAATATCTTGTTTACCCGGGTAAGACACCTGATTTGACTGGCTCTGGGAGTCAGACAGCACTGCTTACAAAATTAGTGAAGAACTCTTCCTTCACCCAGGCTTTTCCTACTGATATTACTGTTCACAGTAATGTATTATTTTGTCAAACTGCTGCAAAAGAAGCTAAAAGAATCCATAAAGTAAGTTTGCCTGAAGCAGTGCAATTACAAGTTTGGATTTATGCCCATTTTCTTTTAGAAACTTATTCTTAATTGATGCTGCACACCCCCCCGCCCCCCATCTTTTTGCATATAAACATTGTATTACTCAGATTAAACAAAAATAACTCACCAATTTGTATGGCTTTAACAACAATAACAGTTATTTTAAAACTGGATTTCTTATTAATCTATATAAATTCTATAATTCTGTCCCAAACATATCTGATCTACAGATGAATATGAAAGCAATGAATAAGAAATGTAAGATATTATTTCTGTATGATTTAAAATTTTTTTTTTTTTTTAAATGCTACATTTGGGTGTTCACTAAACAATGTTAGCAGCCATTGGAAAAAAAAGTATATATATTTTGTCCATTTTGCATTATTCAACATGCAGATTATACTTCTTCATTCGGATGGAAAACTGACAAGTTATACACTGGTTAGGAAAAAAATAAAAGGTGATTTTTTACATACCGGTCATTGTAAATCCACCAACTAACAAGCCAATGTCTCTTCCACCGACTATAATAGCTTCGCTGCGATCTCCTTCGCTGCCAGTGTTCTTGGTTTTCCAAGCAGCCCATATCCCAACTGCCAGGATAGCCAGGTAGAATACAACTATGGCCACCAGCCCCTCCACATGGAAAGCCATGTTGAAGTCCCGACTGTTTCTTTGATCGCTATTTCATTAAGACCTCTGGAGAGAATACAATAATAATATGTCTGCTTTTAACAAACCTGGTAAGATGCTTTTTAGAATCAGTGTACAAGGAAAACTCAGATGGTTATTAAAGAGACTATTCTGGTGAATTTATGAAATAAGTATTTCAGATGTAATTGAAATTAAGTTTACGTGCCAATTAAAATGCCTGTGGAGCAACAACCAACAGTTGCAACCTGCAATTACAGTGCGAAACGAATGATGTGGCTGAAAGCTACGGAACTCTTAGAAATCGGCTCCTGAGCACTGAATTATTTTAGTGTCACCAAGTCCCCAGTGTCTGGGAACTCTTCAGTGAAGAAAGAGTTTGGTACATGGAATAGGATAGAAGATCTTGGCCATGTGGGCTATTATAAAAGTCTCTGTTTAGTTAGAAGACAAGCCACAAAGCTGTTTTAAGTCATATAAGAAAACTGCGGATGAGTGATAGCTACAACAGCAAAACATATCTTTTGAGTCTGTGTTGGAACGCTGAGTCTTTTCCCCCTTCTATCATATCCTGTACTCAAAAATCTGCGCTTTCTTTTTGTAATGTTTAATTGCCCAGCATTAAAAGTATCAACCTATTCTCGTTCGCAATTTGAGAAGTGAACGGAAAGCTTAAAAGCTGTCGCACGGCAGAAATTTTAAGGTATACGAACTACAGCGGGGGAAAACTCGCGGGCGACAGCAGCAGCGGCTGCCCCGTACCCAGCCTTTCCTGGAGCCCCCTCCCAGCGC